AGGTTTGGTGCCAGGACTCGACACCAATGGCTTGTCATGGATCCGTACTTTTCAGCGTAGGCTACAGCTGCTAGCCGAAGAAGGGGAGATGTCAAGTTTGTTGGAAGGGTCGGTAGCACCTGAATTTTGAAATTTTCCGAACGAATTGCATGACACAAGCCTGTTCCACTGAGGCACTTTGCTAAGGAACTTTTGTTTTCGCTTGTGACTCAACGGCATTTTGCTAAGGAGAGCTAATTATTTTAGGATTTTTTTTTGATCAGGTTTAGGAATTATTTTTGGATTCCTGCTTCTCTGCTTTTCCTGCTTTTCCTGCTTCTCTGCTTTCCTGCTTTTCCTGCTTTTCCTGCTTTTCCTGCTTTTCCTGCTTTTCCTGCTTCTCTGCTTTTCTGCTTTTTTGCTTTTCTGCTTCTCCTGCTTCTCTGCTTCTCTGCTTTTCTGCTTTTTTGCTTTTCTGCTTCTCCTGCTTCTCTGCTTCTCTGCTTCTCTGCTTTTCTGCTTTTCTGTTTTTCCTGTTTCTTTGCTTTTCCTGCTTTTCCTGCTTTTCCTGCTTCTCTGCTTTTCTGCTTTTCCTGCTTCTTTGCCTTTCTGCTGTTTTGCTTTTGTGCGTTTCCTGTTTCTTTGCTTCTCTGCTTTTTTGCTTCTCTGCTTTTTTTTTTTTGGCTTTGCCTGCTTTAAATACTTGATTTTCATGTAAGATGCATTTTGCACAGTATTTACATCCCTGAGTATCACATGACCAACCTTCTCTTGAAAACTAGCAACGTAACATGTGAGAAGAGGTGCTTGCATTCTGCTTTGGGGGAGGCGCTGCGCCCTCCCCCCAATCCCCCCCTCCCGCTTTTTTTTATTTAAACTTAAACCCAAGTTACATTAGTTGGTTTTTGCGAACTAACCTTCTCTGGAAAGCTGACAGGATTACATGTGATAGATAGATAGATAGCTAGATAGATAGATGGCTAGATAGATAGCTAGATAGATAGATAGCTAGCTAGATAGATAAAGAGGTAGCTAGATAGATAGCTAGATAGATAGATAGATAGATAGCTAAATAGATAGGTAGATAGTTAGCTAGATAGTTAGATAGCTAGATAGATAGCTCGATAGCTAGATAGCTGGATAGACAGCTGGATGGCTAGAAAGATAGATAGCTAGATAGATAGAAAGCTAGATAGCTAGATAGCTAGATAGATAGTTAGCTAGATAGCTCGATAGCTAGATAGCTGGATAGACAGCTGGATGGCTAGATAGATAGCTAGATAGATAGAAAGCTAGATAGCTAGATAGCTAGATAGATAGTTAGCTAGATAGCTAGATAGGTAGATAGATAGCTAGCAAGATAGCTAGCTAGATAGGTAGATAGATAGCTAGATAGATAGATAGCTTGCTAGATAGATAGATAGCTTGCTAGATAGATAGCTAGCTTGCTAGATAGATAGCTAGCTAGATAGCTAGATAGCTAGCTAGCTGGATAGATAGCTAGCGCCCTCCCTCAATCCCCCCCACCCGCTTTTTATCTAATCCCAAGCTTCCGCATCTGTAAATATTTGGGTGAACATGCTCACATGTAGAACATCCCATGCAAAATGGAAGGTGAACATGCCAAAATGTGGCAAATACCATACAAATTGGACGGTGAACATGCCCACATGTAGGAAATCCTATGCAAAATGGAAGGTGAACATGCCAAAATGTGGCAAATACCATACAAAATGGAAGGTGAACATGCCCACATGTAGTAAATCCCATGCAAAATGGAAGGTGAACATGCCCAAATGTGGCAAATACCATGCAAAATGACAAATTCAAGTTCCAAACCGTTGCAAGCACTAGGCAAATGGTACCAGCCAAGAAATCCAAAAAAAATTCCCAAACCTGCTCAAATTTTTTTTCCTAAAACTATTTCACACCCTTTTGCTAAGGTTTTGAATTCGATAGACGTTGGAATCGCAGGTGACCGCCTGGAATCCAGTTTGCTCCTACTGAAGGGCTTTGTACCTTCCTACAGTTTTCACTTTGTACTGTTCTTTTGTTGCGAATCGGCGGATGTGGACCTTGAGTACTTCTGTTGTCCCGTCTGGATGGTTTGCTGGAGTTTTTCTGTTTTCCGTGACGGTGTCCTGTCCTTTTCCGTCTCGGTTCTTTGGTCAGTCTTTGTCATGTGCGACTGGTGAACATTGTTGGACGATGTTGACTAGTGATGTGATGTGAACTCGTTTCGGACTTTTCGCTGTCTGACTGTAATTTCTGTAGTGCACATGGACCGGTACATGTTGACATTCAGGTTGCAGTTGTTGGAAGTTTTCGTTTACATGTCATGCCACGACACGTTTTTGAAACAAAACGACGGAAACGAAAACCAGTGAAACACCGGTTTTTCCAAACCTCAAGTTTTGTTTTTGTGATTTTTGGAATGCTCTTAATGTGATGCAGAAGCCGTTTAGGAACAGAAGCCGTAGAGAGAGAGAGAGAGAACAGTTTGTTTTACTCCACAAGCTTGATCGGATCAAGAAGAAAGGTTGACTTGTTTTCGTGTTTTGTGACGTGTGGCGTATGGGCAGCATGGCTGATGTCACTACTCCTGAGAAGACTACGGAAGCCAATGAGGGCTTGGACCAAGCAGTTCCTGTGTTGGAGGAATGGCAGTTGTGCATGCCTCCATGCCTGACCCTAAGTCCCCAACGGAAGGGAAAGGTGATCAGCCTGATGAGGCTGACGTGGAAATTTTGGAACCACCGGGGAAAAAGATCCGTTTCTCTTTGGAGGAAAGCTTTGAGAAATTGATGGATCGCACTCAGGAGGGCTTCGATTTGACAAGAGGAGCCTTCGAGAAGGTGCAACAGCACCTTGATCTGAGCAAGAAGGTCAGCCAAGACCTTTCGCAATTAGCACAAGAAGTGCATTGCGAGAAAATCGGAGCGAAGTACCAGTTGGCGCAACTCCAACAGGTACTGTCGTCGTTCCAAAACCTGGAATGGCAGGTGGGCGGTACCAAGAGTGAGGCAAACACCAGCCTCAAGAGCATCAGTAACAAAATACTGGGAGCTCAAACAGCTTGCAAGGAAGGGCTCAAGGCCCTGCATGGTGAGATGCGTGATGGCAACGAGAGGGTAGTCCAAGCCATCACTGATGGATCCAACAAGCTGTCCGCAGCTATGGTGGCAAATGCACCACCTGTGAAAGAAACCTCAGCTCCAGCATATGCTCCGGTACCACCACCGACTATGCCACCAGGAACACCTCCTGCAGGATCCTCAGTGACGTCCACGTATGGTCTTCCTGGATATGCATCCAGCTATAGTCTGCCGACACCCAATTTGCCGACACCCAATGCGCCGATGGTCAATACACCACAGACGCCGGCAAGAGTGCCTCCGACTTCGATGGGGTCAATGGCAAGTATTCCAACAGCTCCTGCTGTTGCCACGGCTGCAAGGAATGAGCCGCAGCCTCCTATGGTGCTTTTGGTGGCTGATGAATCAGGCGCACAGCGCCGTGTTGCAGTTTCGCCTACTCGACACTTGTCGAGCAACAATCTTACCCAGAGTTACTTGCAGGAGTTTGGGTTGGGGTGCGTGCACCACGCCGGCGGCTATCACAACACAAGTCTCGGCTCAAAGCATCATCACAACATGTTCCCAAGCTGGAACTATCACCAAGTCCAACTTCATGTCCAGACTTCAAACCACAAAACCATGACTCATGAGTACAACTGTCGCAACTTCTTGCCAGTCCACGACTCATGTCATCTTCTCCAAATTCAGAATCCTTGCAATCAACCGCAAGTTCGTGCTCCATGTCAGCAAACTCCAGTTCAGCACCATTGCACCTACCTTTGGATTCGCAACTCGGGGGCAGTCCTGCGAGCTCATGCTCATGTTCAAACACAAAACTGCCAACGGTTTCACAAGTGGATTCCCAACAAAGGGCTATTGATCATGCTGCCGACACTGCCAACCTTTTGGACATCAGACCTATTGTCGTGGCTTACACGCATTTCCGCACTTTGGACTGGTTTCTGTTGCCAGGTATATCCATACCCGTCGCAATACCACCCAGAACCATCGTCCCACCAATAGTCATCATCGTCCCAACCTTCGGCAGACCAGTCGGTCCAATCTTCATTCCAACTTTCTGAAACTTCATTCAACTTGCTTTTCTTTCCAAGAAACTCCTCCAGGATATCCAGTATCTTGATGCCAAAATTGCCGATGAGCTGGTGCAAGGTTTCCCTCTCAGTGGCTGGATGCCTCCATCTGATGTTTTCCCTGCAAGGTTGCGGCCACCTGAAATCAATGAACCTTTTCTACGGGCGATGGCTCGGAGCTTCTGTCCCAGGTCCATGGCAGCCACAGTTCTGGAAATCTGGACGCGGACAACAAACTTTGGCAGGCGACATCGCCGCGCTTTTGGCTCCAGCAGAAGAATAAGCTGAGGCCTATTGACAACTTCAGCTCTTCCCATGTCAATAGTTCAGTTGGTTTGAGGGAGAAGTTCGTTGTTGACTCAGTGGATGAGATTTGTGCGATGGTGAAAACTTGGATGCAAATGAGTGGGCCAGGCATTCGACTGGTCGGCAAGACGTATGACATGCGCAAAGCATATCGCCAGTTGGCCATACATGAGAGTCATCTTGACTTTGCTTGGATCAGTGTTTGGAACCCGCAGACACAGGCACCTGCGTTGTTTCGCATGGAAACCATGCCTCTTGGATCCACAGCTTCTGGAAGCATGTCGGCATTCTATACGCCGATTTTGTGTGCATCTGCAGGCTTGGAACGGAAACCCAAACGGATCGCATGGTCCGTCTCTTGTTTCGCTCTCTTGGTTGGGCGCTTTCAGAAGATGTGGAGAAAGATCGCCCATTCTCCGAAAGATTCCAAGCGTTGGCTGTTGAATTTGATTAGAGCAATGCATGCAGTGGAAACTTCACAGTTGGAAACACTGAGGCACGGAAAACTGAGCTGAAAAAGAAGATCAGCAGTATTTTGGCTGATGACATGATGGAGCCTACAGTTGCTGAGTTGCTCCGTGCACGTTTACTCTTTGCAGATGCGCAGATCTTTGGCAGGTTCTCGAAGTTGGCCTTGCACAAAATAGGCCCAGTGGGTCTCAAAACCAAGCCTGAACGACCGCTTAGCATGCAGTGGAGTCAAAGCGGCATTGCAATGGGTCGTGGACCGTGTGTTGTCAGGTGCTCTACGTCGCATAGACAGCGGCCTGCGTCCCACCTTTTACCTTTTCCTGGACGTTGCTTGCACAGATGGCGCCAATGGCGCGACTTGGAGCGGGATGTCGATATAGGTGCAGTCCTGGCTGTCAGCAAGGACGGATCATGAACTTCTTTGGCCACATTGTTGATGCTGCATTGGGTTCAATTTGGGGGCCTGCGGACAAAGTGCAACACATATTTGAAGGGGAGGCGCTTCCTTTTGCTGCAGCCCTGCGTGTTTGGGGGGACATGTTCCGCCATACCTGTGTTTTTGCCTTCATCGACAATGAGTCAGCAAAAGCTGCGTGGATTACGGAATTTGCCCAGTCAAAGACAGCTCAGAACATCCTGCACCATGGGACGCGCATGGAGGCCAACCTTGACATCCGTCCCTACTTTGCCAGGGTCCCCGCAAGCTCCAGCTTTGGTGATGCGCCTTCGAGGGGCGAATTCCGTTTGTTGCTGCAATCGGGAACTGAAAGAATTGCGATCTCCAATGAACTGATCGCCGAGCTTTGCACACCACCTTTTGCCCGTAGAACCCCGTCCTGAATGCGAGGAGGGGCTACGTGGCTCGGGACTCCGGACAATCCCCCAATGTTGGAATGAAAACTGTGCTCGGCTGATCACCATTTTTGGATTCACTTTGATTCATTGTGTTTTGCATCTGGTGCAGTGATATTTTTCTTTTGCCGTGTGAATGCATTTGACGTTTGTTGTTTTTGTTTTACTCTGTGAAGGTGTGTCCGTGTTTGGGGTT